CAGTGATCAACTTCAGGAGTCATAAGTAAGAATTTGGACAGCTACTTAAAAGCAGTGTTTACATGAGAACATAATTTTTTATTTGCAAAAAAATCCACAATCCCCAAACAACTTTATCTGGCAGAAATACATTATTATTGTCTTTGGAACATAAAGAGCACTCAGTCTTGTAATTTCACAATATTATGGGCATATGCTCCTTCTTAAGATACTTTGTGGTAGGAATATTTTGTCACACTGTCTCTAGAGCCCTGTGTCCCACAAAGAAAGAAATAAAGATAGATGAAATCACAGCTTAGGCAACATGGATAGAAGGCACAAGAAAAATTAGTGTGCTGAAATAATTCTTGTTTTCTAGAATTGAAAAAAATATTTTTGTTGTTAAAAATACTTAGCAATTGAAAAAAATGATGTCACAAGTGTATTGTAAAAGAAAGGACAATAGAGAATCTTCATTTGAAAAGAAATTTTTAGGTATAGGAGGCACTGAATCTCACACCTCAGTGAAATGTCAGTGAAGTATGCTAATGATGCTAGCACTGGAAAAGTTTTTATATGAACTCACACATGACATGACTTGCTAAAATACAGTCTCAGTGTTTCATTATGCCAACAAGAAATATATTAGCCTGTAGTTTCCTGTGGGGACTTGGTGAAAACAATGCTATCCGACAAAGTTTTAATTACATCAAAGTCCCTTGTCTATAAAATTTAGACTGCTACTTATTTAACACCTTTCTTCTGGGAGCTAATAGTTGTTAAATACCAGAATTATTTTATAAGTGAATGGTTTCTATGTTAAATTTGATTTTTCTGTTAGCTGTACTCTTGTTTTATGTTTCCACTTAATAATTACTGTGTTTAATTCAGTAATGTAGAAACCATGATCTTTCCACTCACTGTTAATGTCTGTAATAAATATAATGTGGTGGTATAAGCAAAATAATTAGCCTCGTATAGTATATCTTTATAGTAGCTGAAGACACTTCTCTGTATAGTGAGTAACTAATCAATCTCGGCAACCACTACTTAAACACCCATAGGTTTGATCAAAGACGCAGGGGATGAGCTTGCCCAGATTATCATGTGAGTGGAAAAAGTAACTCCTCTAACAGTGAGAGCATTTCAGATGTCTAGACTGTTAGCTGGCCAAAAGAATGTATTAATGGAATGTATACAGTTGTCAAAAATCCCTGCTTCTAATAATGGAAAAATACCCACTTTTCAGCAGTCATAAGGAATATAAACCTTTCACATTGATACCTGGATCTGGAAAATAACAATAGGAAAATGGAATGTAGAGCAAATCATCCCAGTCTTATCAACTAGAAGTAGCATGAATAGTTATGGACAGGCACTGTGAAAATTAAGATTTGGGACTTTATTTAGTATGCCATGCTGTCCTCTAATTTGTGTTGTTATTAAGGTGAAATATTTAGGTCTTGAGATTGAAGTTTTCCTACTTTGCTGTAGTACAACTGACAGTTAATCTGGAAAAAAACAGAGTGTTAATACTCAGGGGAGCTTTTCACCTGAGTCTACCGGCTGCAAATTAGATGCATTAATATGAGTCTGAAAAAATGTATTACATAATGGGTGTCTGATCATGGAGTAATGTTTTATAACTAGGAAATATGAGGGAATGAATAGTGGTTTCAGAAAAAGTCAATTTAACTTGAAAGAAAGAATGTTCTTTGATGGACAATGTTTATTATTGTATACAAGGGCTAGATGGAGAGGCAGTATGTAAAATGAGTATTAAACTTTTTAAGAAAGTTATTAGAGGATATTGGGTAGTTAGTTGACTGTCTTTTAGTCCTTGGCTAGGTATAGTTTTCACTGCTAATATGGCCTATATCTCCATCAGAATGCAGTGAAGATAATGCAATTAGTTTTGCTGATGTGTGCATATAGCAAGGCCAAATTCAAGACAGAGGATTTAGGTTTGACCTCTGTGAATTTCCACATGGTAAAACTAGTCTGAACTATGCTTTTATCTTAGGGATATTGATGTGTACTATTAGCAGAGAAGAGCCTCTCACAAGAATCCAAAGCCATAGCCTAGGCTTCTATTGGAAGAAAGCAGTTCGACTTGTGTTTTTCTAAAATGTTTGTGCAGTCTTAGAAATCTGATAGTATAGATTTTCAAATTTTAGGTATTTGATTTTTCTCACTGAATCACTGTAATTATATCTGAAAAAAATATTTCCTCATGTAAACTATACTAATAGTAATAGGATTTGACAGAATAATTGTATTAGAGAGTGTGCAGCTGGCCAGTCCCCAATAAGCACAACTTAATGCACTACTGAGCCTATTACAAACAGTGCTGGCAGCCCTTTACAAACAGTGCTGGCAGCCCTGCTCCAAAGGGCAGTCAAGGATCAGGGAAGTTGTTTGCTCAGTATCTCAGGAACAACACTCCCCTTTCAGTGTTTCACAGTAGACGTGTAGCAAAAACACTTCCCTTGGGACCTTTGGGTATGTTTTAGTAGGCACACACACTTGAAATGGAGCACATGGGTTATCAGGTTTCCATTCCTAAGTCATCATAAGGCAGAAATTTAGTTTAGAACTGTCAGACTAAAAAGCTTTTTTAAGAAATCATAGGTCACTAGACAACTACAATTACCTTAAAGAAATCTAAAAAGAAAGTTCCCTTAACTATACTTCCTTTTTTCCTCCAGGAATAGTTATAGAATCATAGAATATCCTGAGTTGGAAGGGACCTGCAAGGATCATCAAAGTCCAACACCTGGCCCTGCACAGGACAAGCCCAAGAGTCACACCATATGCCTGAGAGTGTTGTACCAATGCTTTTTGAACTCTGTCAGGCTTGTGACCACTTCCCTAGGAAGCCTGTTTCAGTTTCCAGCTGGGTGAAGAACCCTTTCCTAATGTATAAATTAATGCCCCCTGACACAGTCTCAGGCCATTCCCTCACATCTTTTCAGTTGTCACCAGAGAGAAGAGATGGGCACCTGCCCTTCTTCTTGCCCTCTTTTATTTTCTCTTTTATTTTGAAGTATTGCATTCATACTCTCCTTTTCTCCAACAGTTGAACTTGACTTGTTTTTTCAATTTGTGCTAATAAAACAATTATTGTCAGCACAATTGAAGAGGTATGTTTAAACTATGGAGTGTAAGATTAAAAAGCTATATTCCTTCATATGAATACAGAATATTTGGAGGCAATGCTACTCCAACAATAGGTGACCCAAATTATTTTACAGTTGAGCTACCACATCTACTGTGTGCTGTCAGATGCCAAGAAGCATAAATATAATTCTATTGTGTGAGCAAATAACTAGAAGTTTCCTATCTTGTTACTGTATAAGTCTCATGATGTTTTGGGAAAGGAACTAAAGATAGGTTTATTGAGCTTAGAATTAACAAGCAGCTGTGCTTAAAAGATACTTGAGAAACAATTATAGAGCATTGTTGACTTTCATGAAGGGGTAGAGTGCCTCCTCATCAAGTCTGCTGGTGATACAAAACGGGGGTGAGTGGTTGATACCCCAGAGAGCTGTGTAGCCCTTCAGAAGGATCTGGACAGTTGGGAGACATGGGCAGAGAAGAACCACCTGATATTCAACAAGGACAAATGCAGGGTCTGGCTTTTGGGGAGGAATAACCCCATGAACCAGGATGAACCTTCTGGAGAGCAGCTCTGTGGAGAGGGGCCTGCAGGTCCATGTGGGCAATGAGCTTTCCATGAGCCCACAATGACCTTTGTGGCCAAAAATGCCAATGGTGTCCTGGGGTGCATTAGGAAGAGCATTGCTGGGAGGTTGAGGGGGGTGATCCTGCCCCTCTACTCAGCCCTGGCGAGGCTGCACCTGACATCCAAGTCTGGGCTTCTCAGGGATATGGAGCTCCTGGAGCAGATCCAGCTGAGGGTGACAATAATGATTTAGGGACTGCAGCACCTCTCTTGTGAGGAAAGGCTGAGGCCTGTTCATCCTTGAGACTGAGAGGATATCATATCACTGCCTATAAGCATTTGAAGGGAGGATGTCGAGTTGATGGAGCCAGGCTCTCCTTGGTAGTGCCAAGTTTTGGGACAAGAGGCAATAGGCAGAAACTGAAGCACAGGATGTTCCACCTGAACATGAGGAAGAGCTTTTTTACTGTGAGAATGACTGAGCACTGAAACAGATTGCCCAGAGAAGTTGTGGAGCCTCCTTCCCTGGAGGTATTCAAGGGTCTTCTGGGCACAATTTTCTGTGCCATGTGCACTAGAGGACCCTGCATGAGCACAGACCTCCAGTGGTCCCTTAACATTAATCATTCGGTGATTGTTAAAGACTATATTAATGAAACTTCCCTCCCTATTCTTTGTAAATCCTTATGTTCCAACTCCTTACTTTTGTGTGACATGATGTTTCCTTAAGGACCTTATTCTTAAGTAAGAAGCTTTTATTCAGGACATGGCTATCTTGTTCTATAAAGTTTCACCCCTATTGGCTGAAGAATACATGCTGTATTCTTAAAATCTGTTTCAAGGCCAAAAATTGCTGAAGAACATTAGGCAGCAATACTGTTGTAAAGGGTTAAATGTATCCAGAACTAAAATATCCATCAAATATCCATCTTTCTAAAATTCAATCTGATGATAAAATTTTATAACTTATACAATTAAGTTACTTAAGATATTGCAAGTTTTTTAATGTCTATCTGAGATGTGTCAGTGATATTAGGAGAAATATGCAAAGCGGTATAACAGGTGTGGATAACATAGTGCAACCTTTATATTATTTACAGTTGTATGTAAATTTTTTTTCCTGGCAAGTCCTGATAAATTATTTTAAACAAAATCTTAAGTGAGAATTGTCAAATATATTCATTCAAGTAAAACTGGCAGCAAATATTAAGTTGTTGTATAGGTAGTCTGGGCTTTCAGTGTGATTTTCTGATAGAATGTTGTAGTCTTAACTGAATAGAGACATTCCTTAAAAAAAAAAAAAGGTGAAATCGACTCTATCTCTTTTTGCTTCCAGCAATTACTTGTCGCAGACAAGATGGAGGACAAGCTGACATCAGTGAGTGCCTTAAGTATTCTGGACCATTACCACCCTTAACACAGATGTGCCAGATTCCCTGCCAAGATGACTGTCAGTTTACGAACTGGTCAAAATTTTCTCCTTGTAATGGGGACTGTGGAGGAGTCAGGACAAGAAAACGCACTCTTGTTGGTAAGAATATCAAGCAAAATAATGCTTTATTATTATATTTATTATTGATAATGTTTTGTTTAAAACCTGAGAACTTCAGAGGTTCCCTTATGACAAGTGTTATAGTGGCAGATCCAGTGTCATTCTCTGTATTCTGCTGGTGGAACAATACCCAGGAGTAGAAACTCATGCCATATGTCAGAGACTCTTGATATGAGTAAGTAGCTAGAGAGAAGATGGGAGAACATAGAAGAATACTACTTTTTTTCCTAAATATAGTGCACATAGTAAGGCTTTTTTTTTTTCTGTTGGGGTTTTTTTTTTTTTTTTTTTTTTTTTTGTTTTTTTTTGTGAGTCAGCAACCATCTCACCTTAACAGGATCAGATGTTAACCCACTTGCCTTCCTCTTCCCACACCCGCTCTTGGCTAAAGCAGACTTCCTTCTCTCATGGTGTTCTTTGGTGCATTTAGAATTACTATGGCAGTTGAGTGTTCTTCAGCATTTTGCTATAGATCACCATTTTCAGCCTTAAGCCTTCGCTTGCTTCTTTTGAACTTATCTGCAGTCTTGAATATCAGATTTATGATTAAGCCAGTCCTTTCTCTGGCTGAATATTTGCTCTCCCAGTTCGTTCTTTCACCATTCTTCATTGTCTACATCCAGCACCACAGACAAAGTGAGGCATTACACTGCCTAATTTTTTGCCTTATTTCTTGAGATGAGTAGTAATGCTCTTATTTTGTATCCCAAGAAGCATCTTTTAATATTTACTTAGCAGGATGAAAAGATTTATCAGTGATGCCCTTGCCACAGGCTTGTCTTAGCTATACATAATGGACACTGTTCCACTTTGAATCACTTTTTTTCTTCAACTTCTTTTTAATCTGTTGTTTGTTGGTTTGGGGGGTTTTTTAAATTATTTTTTCTTCTGCATAAAGTGAAAAAAACCCATGCCCTGCTTCTAAATTATAATTGAAACCTCAAGAGTGAGGCTTGGCCTGTGTCACAGCACTGTTTGCCAATTAGTCTGTATTGTCTGTGGTGCAGGAAGGCTAGCTAAGGGGGGTGCCCATTAGCAGGCTCAGAAAGAATGTGATAGAATCCAAGCCCTATCCCCATCTCCATCCCCCTGTAAATCAGAAGACCAGTGGAAAATGAATAATTCATGATCTTCAAGAAGCCTCACTGTGACTGTCTAATAATTCCCATAAGCTTTATGTCAGGTTTGCTTCCACAAGGGAAAAAATGAACAAAACTGACTAGCAGTATTTTTCCTTATTTTAAAAACAGAGCAAGAAAGTACATTTTCTTCCTACCACAATATTAACACTTTGTGATACTTCCTGTCCTCATTTAAGTTACCTCTCCAAATTTGCCAACTCTGTGTTATGTGCTGTGGTGTATTCTCTGTGGCAATGTGTTACCCAGACTAATTAATAATGCTTGACTTGGAATAAATTCATAATTATTCCTGGTAAATACTTCCAGAAGAGAAGAATACATTTAGTAAGAAGTTGTGTTGTCAAAAGAATTAGAAACTTTCTTCCAGGTGCCCATTTTCTATTCTAGTATTCTAAATAAAGACAGTAGCAAATACAGGAATGAAGGCTGCTGCAATGTCCAGTGCCTTGTTTTGAATAGCTAGGAAAATGCTACATAATATTACATTTATAGTAATATCTAAGTAACAGCTACTTAGCTACTACTTAGTAACAACCATTACTTTTACAAAGACTACTACATTAATTTATATAAACTGGTATAGAAAAGAAAACTAAGAAACTTTACCAAAGAGAAGGTTTAAATATATTTAATGGAAAGGGGAAGTTGAGTGAATGGCTATGCTCCCATTCAGGAAAGAAAGCAAGAACAGCACTGAATGGAAAGAAAATCAGAGAAGGAGCTTATTCTATTAGAGGTAAAGAATGGCAATTATGAACAAATGTACAATAACAGGTGACTAAAAAATTTTGACATTTTGAAAGAAGGTACTAGTGTAGCAAAAATGCATGTTCTTTCTTCCTGACTTCTTCCTTCAATTTGAAAAAGCTTGATCCAGATAGAAATCTTGTTATTGAACTGCACACTGCTGATGAAATAGGAGGAAAATAGTGTATTTGTTTAATTGCTAACTTTTTCAAACCTTATTCCTGAAATATTTGTATCTAAATTAAATATAATTACATCTTTCTTTTCAAAAAGCAATCGCCTTTGTGCAAATTGTAGGTAGCCACTACTTTAGAAATTCAAGTCAATAACCTAATTTAATAAAGATTAATGTAACAGGTATTAAGAGTATGTATGTATGTAAGCTGTAAAGTGATACAAACTTGTTAATAACTATTTCTTCTTTCTAGGAAAAAGTAAGAAAAAGGACAAATGTAGAAATTCTCAGTTGTATCCTCTGATTGAGAATCAGTTTTGCCCATGTGACAAGTACAGTGCTCAGCCTGTGGGAAATTGGTCAGACTGTATTTTGCCAGAGGGTAAGATGGAAGTATTGCTGGGAATGAAGGTACAAGGAGACATTAAGGAATGTGGACAAGGCTATCGTTACCAGGCCATGGCTTGCTATGACCAAAACAATCGACTTGTGGAAACATCACGATGCAACAGTCATGGTATTTACAAACCAATTTTCTTTCATCTGTTTGCTTGTGTACTTTATTTAAATTTAACATAATATATGTACAAGTAGAATTAGCAGATTAATATTTATTGGTTAGGCTGCCTTTTATCCCAAGATACCTTCAAACCCAGCACATTTTTGCAGACATTTAAAATAGTAAAATTTAGTAAAAACAGGATAAACTACTAACTAGGTATTTTAATTGAAAATAAATAAAATCTTCTTATTTTTCCTGATAACTGTAGCTAGGAATTTGAGAATAAAGCCATTTAGAAGGAGCAAATTCACAAAAAACAAACAAACAGGACTATTTTGGAAAGGCTGAAATTATTTCCACAGATTTTTTATATAGCTTTAAACCCTTAAATAGCCTTATCTGTACAATTTGCTCTTCAGCACCTTAACTAACAGGCATGCATTGAACTGAGTTCAACAACATACATCATTTTTTTCTCTGTGTAAATCTGTCATGTGCAAAACTAGGATGGTTAAAGACTTTATATTCTTTGTATTTACATTGCTCCAGGAAGGAATAGTGTTCTTTCCTAAAGGAGATGCATCCATAGCATTAGGATCAAAACTGGCAGTTTCTGGTTTTCAGAGAGCCAGAAATGTGGTAATTGACATCAGTGGAGTTTTTGTGTTCATTTTTTTCCTGTTTGTGGTGAAAACTTGTATCTGAGCAATTGGTATGAAAAGCAGGATGTTAGTGCAAGGGTCAATCTAAGTTTAATTCACATATGCATTCAGATCCCTAATGTTAAATTAAGATAACAGAAATTTCATTTATTTACTTGGATATATTTAAAATAGCTAATCAAAGAGATTGAATTAAATAAGGCAATTTTAATTTGCACTATTAATTCATGTTTAAAGATATGATAAACTAGAAATTCAATATATCAAGTCAAGGTGTTAGCATATACTATGTTAGGAATACATCACTTTTCATCATTAAGTTCAAAGTGACCTTTGAAAAGTGGAAAATTGTAAAAGCACTTCAGTATGTAGGAAACTA